GACTATATCTATATGACGCCATGCATGATATCATCACACCTATCAACATTTATGATTTCTTGGGCTTCTATTATCACTGTCATTTTTAGTCAATTTAATTTTCTTGTAATAATTATTTCTCTTCAAAATGCATGTCAATTTTCAACGTGGAAAAAATAGTCTTGTGTCTTATTATTATTATTACTATTATTTTGTCTTGTCACGCAATTGAAACTATCTAACGTGACCCTTTTTTCTTCAATTAAACAATCAATATTAGTTACATCTTTTATATTTAAACTACACATTTCAAAATTTTTTATCAAAATTTGTTAAAAATTTTAATTTTAATCCCCACCAAACAAGGCGTAAATCTCCCATATCTTTTACCTTTTATATTGATTGCTTATGTTTATTTCTAGTATATATTCTTCTTAAAAAAGAATATTTTATTTTTTGAAAAATATGGCATCTCATCTGTGAAGAAACCAAATTAGCATGTAGGTGCAATTCTCAACGGGATAAGACATATAATTAGAGTCATAATAAAGTAAAAAATAATAATTAATTAATTAACCCAATATGTTGTTTGTCTCTAAGGTCTTTCTTAATTCCCATGGTTCCTTGATATTCAATAGGCCACAAAGTTTGAAAATTTAGGTAACTAATTTGACACGCTTCTTTATTATTTAGGAAAAACTTGTTCCTAAGTCATTATTGCAGTTGCAGTGTCATCTCTAACCTTTTTCTCTGGTAATACAGTTTCCAATATTTGAGAAATCCCTGGATGGTGGTATACAATTTGAAATTCACTAGGAAAGACATTTACGTAAAAAAATTTTGTCGATCACAATTCTCACGAACAAAGTACATATTACTTCATGTTGGGGAGTTGTTTATGAACAGTTTGAAATGAATGGTGAATAAGTTGATAGTATTTGCGTATTTTTGTTTCTCAGGAAACAAATTCTTATTTGAGGATTTCATTTGTTCTTTTGCAATCTGCAATAAGAGTTGAGGAATCCGATAAGACTGTTTGCTTGGAGTCCCTAAATCATCTCAAATTCTAGGAGAGTAAACAAATAACTCTTTTAGAACACGTTTCTAAGCGATTCATGATTCCAAATTCTTCTTTGGTCACCTTGTTGCAGCGAAATGTCGGGCTTGGTGGTGGATCGTTCTTCATCCTCAACCTCTGATCATAGTCCAACAAGATGCAATTTTGTAAAACATCTCCTAAAGCCACACTACTAACCTATATACGCGAATTCTGCAAAAAATCTAGTCACTATCTATTAGTTTTTAAGAACTTTACTGAGCCCTTATTTGTTGGGGATTAAAATTATGCCCTTGTTTGATACCCATTTTTCTTAAAATATATTTTTCTTTCTCTTCTTTTCAATCACACATTCTTTATTAAAATAATATTACACGTAAATAAATTTTTTTTTCTTATTTATCAACCACACATTTCACATCAATTTACTATTCTAAAATACATTTTTACATAAAAATATCTATCAAACACCCTCTATAATTGAATAAAAATATAAATATAAGAAGAGAATGGCTAGAAATGAAAGCCTTTGATGTCATGTCGAAAACACTATCCTAAATTCGTGTTGCCTTCCCTTTGTGCAGATACTTTGACATTACCCAGCTCCAAGATAGAACTCATATTGTTCACAGCTTGTTCTCTTTTTGTGGGCACGATCATGAGGAGATAAATGAACGAGTCTCTCGTCGAGTTACCAAAATAGTATAGTATAAAAGTGTAGAGAGAATAATATTTTAAGTTGTTGTATTCTAGTTCTCAAGTTGTGTTTTCATGTTATATTTTTCATCTCAATGAAAATCATTCCCTTTTATAGAGATAAATAAATTTAAACCCCACACTTATAAGCATTAAGTCATTTAAAATGTATGTTACACTATAATATTATTAATTTAATTTTGTATTAAATTGATATTAAAATAGAAACAAAAATTTAAAAGTATTCATTTGAAAATTTTAACCTTATATTATTTATTTTTCAACAATCCCCCACTAGGGACGGATCTAGGTTCCACGTTCAGCTAGGGTGGTTGACTTTGACTTTGACTATTGATCGTTGATCGTCGATAATCAATGATCATATTAAAATTTGATTAAAAAATCACAATTCTTAGTGATAATTCCTAAATCCTAATTTCCTTTGCTACGACTATATGAATTAAACATTGATTCACTATCACTAATTAACTAATAACATGTACAACACTCAAGCCAGTCAACACTTCAAGTCTCCAAATCTCCAATAGAGTCACTCAACTCAAGTCATCCAAGATTCCAAGTGCTCAACAAATTCTCAACACCGTCACTGCAAGCATCATTGCATCAACGTACAACAAATTGAACAAAAGGTCGGCAAATTGCAGTTGCACTAGCACAATTGCACAAATCAACAAATACAATACGTCAAGTTGTCAACACAGCAAGTCAGCAACACTCAATTTCTCAACAATCAACACACAACAAAAACAGTCAACACCCAACAGACAACAGAGATAGAGTTGAGACAATTATAACTCAGACAACCAAAACAATTCAATTAACCAAATATTCAACTCTTCAACTTTAAATGTTGAACTTAATAAACTTTAACTCACCAATTAGGCAATCACCAATGCTGCAGTCTACAATGCACACTGCTGGCTGCTCGCCTGTTTGTACTCGGCCTCGCCAGTCGCCACTCGCAGACTCGCCTAGGACTTCGGAGTCTATCACTGGTCTGGTCAGAGAAGATGGAGATTCGCCCCTAAGTTTCTAAGACTTCGCACACAGGCACAGCTGCACAGGTCGCACAACACATTGGCGGCACACGCACGTTCACCGAATCATAGACTCACTGCCTCCATCTGGTGCTACTACTTCAAATGGAAATTCAAGGGTAACTGGGTAGTGGGTAACTGGTTTCTATATAATGGAACTATGGAAATGGAAGGGACCAACCGACCAAGGGTTTGCGATTTTGGGGCTAATTTTAGGTTTGGGAGTTGGGAGAAATGTCAATTAAAACCAATATATTTAAAGATCCATGGACCGTCCGTTTTAATGGATCCAATTTCCATATTTGGGCCAATTTTTTTTTTTTTAAAATAGGCCCAATTTCAGTTAGATTAGCCCAAAGAAAAAATGAAAAAAGGGGTCGTCTTCTCAAGCTGAAACTGAGTTCCTCCTGGCTGACTGGCTCCATCTGCAATTGCCAACCCGCGCGGCCACTGAACTAACTGAAGACTTCAGCGGAGCCAGCATGGGCGGCCGCGTCCCTTCGCCGGGTGCTGGCTCCGCCCCTGTCCCCCACAAAGTTTAAACTTTCAAAATAGATAAATATATAATATATAGTGGCAACGTTATACTGTATAATAGGTGTATG